AGTTCAGAGTGATCCCTGGTGCCCTAATTCCAGAGTGATCCTGGGGTGCCTAAAGTTCAAGGTAATCCCTGGGTGCCCTAAGTTCAGGTGATCCTAGGGTGCCTAAAGTTGAGTAGGCCTGGGGTGCCTAAAGTTCAGGTAGTCCCCTATAGGGTGCTTTCAAGGATTCAGTGATGATCCCTAAATTTCAGGTTCAGGTGATCCTAGGTGCCTAAAGTTCGAGAGTCCCTGGGGTGCCTAAAATTCCAGGTGATCCCTGGGGTGCCTAAAACCAGGTGATCCTGGGGTGCCTAAATTCAGGTGATCCCTGGGGTGCCTAAAGTTCAGGTGATCCCTGGGGTGCCTAAATTCAGGTAATCCCTGGGTGCCTAAGTTGGGTGATCCTGGGGTGCCTAAAGTTCAGGTGATCCCTGGGGGTGCCTAAAGTTCAGGTGATCCCCTGGGGTGCCTAAAAGTTCAGGTGATCCTAGGTGCCTAAAGTTCTGGGTGATCCCTGGGGTGCCTAAAAGTTCAGGTGATCCCTAGAGGGTGCCTAAAGTTCAGGTGATCCCTGGGTGCCTAAAATTCCAGGAGGTGATCCTAGGGGTGCCTAAAGTTCAGGTGATCCCTGGGGTGCCTAAAGTTCAGGTGATCCCTGGGGTGCCTAAAGTTCAGGTGATCCTGGGGTGCCTAAGTTGGAGTGATCCTGGGGTCCCTAAAGTTCAGAGTGGGCCCCTAGGGGTGCCTAAGTTCAAATGATCCCTGGGTGCCTAAAGTTCAGAGTGATCCCTGGGGTGCCTAAAGTTCTCAGTGATCCCTGGGGTGCCTAAAGTTCAGGTGATCCTGGGGTGCTAAAGTTCAGGTGATCCCCTGGGGTGCCTAAGTTCAGAGTGATCCCCTGGCCCAGGGTGAGGAGAAGAAATGGTGAGAGGGGAGGAAAAGAAGAATGAGGAGGGGGAGATGATGAGGAATGAAAGATAAATAAGTTGTGGGAGTAAAGTTAAGGTAAGGAAGAAGAACGAGATTTACCTATATTATATATTCTTCGTATGTACGACTAAATAATATCTTTAATTTTTGTCGAATAACGGAAATAAAATGAATAATTTCGTTGTTCTTCATAACACAGGTGAAAGAACATTACTTGTTCTTTAATGAATTTCACCTCTCAGACTCGCATGAAAATTTTCTAATTACAATTTTATTTTTTACAAGGAACATTATGAGTTCAGTGAACCATAAAGACCCCATAACCGTAGTTTTCGCCTCACTGCTGCCATTATTCATATATAAGGCAATTGTTGCCATTTTTTGTTTTCGCCCCACTGCTGCCATTAATCACATATAAGGCAATTGTTGCCATTTTTTGTTTTCGCCCCACTGCTGCCATTAATCACATATAAGGCAATTGTTGGCATTTTTTGTTTTCGTCCCACTGGTGCCATTATTCACATATAAGGCAATTGTTGCCATTTTTTGTTTTTGTCCCACTGCTGCCATTAATCACATATAAGGCAATTGTTGCCATTTTTTGTTTTCGTTCCACTGCTGCCATTAATCACATATAAGGCAATTGTTGCCATTTTTTGTTTTCGTCCCACTGCTGCCATTAATCACATATAAGGCAAATGTTGCCATTTTTTGTTTTCGTCCCACTGCTGCCATTATTCACATATAAGGCAATTGTTGCCATTTTTTGTTTTCGCCCCACTGCTGCCATTAATCACATATAAGGCAATTGTTGCCATTTTTTGTTTTCGCCCCACTGCTGCCATTATTCACATATAAGGCAATTGTTGCCATTTTTTGTTTTCGTCCCACTGCTGCCATTAATCACATATAAGGCAATTGTTGCCATTTTTTGTTTTCGCCCCACCCACCCTGAACAACCTGCTGGAATGAGGTCAAATTTCACTCCCGTAGGATTAAATAGCTTCCTTTTACACTTAACTCTTCATCGGGTAAATTCTCAAGCAAAACATCAGATCAGTTTGTAAGTTGTTCGTTTGATTAATTCCTTGTGAAAGTTCCTGAGAGACAATACGAAAAAAAAATTGCTTCATTTAACTTCAATTCTCCAGGTACAACTTTGTGTGAAATAAAAACAAAGTAAGTGTGTGTGTGTGTGTGTGTGTGTGTGTGTGTATTAAAGTGTGTCGGTTTCATTATGGGCAAGTCAGGTAATATTTATAGTGTGTGTGTGTTACCTGAGGCGTTGCATTTTATAATTAATTAAAGAATAACATAAGTGTTATGTATATATTATGTGCCCAAGAAATTTCACCTTTATAACCAAAATATCATGTAGTTATTGTGTTCCTTGTGTTCCTTACGTTACTTGCTTTTCTAGTTATCGTGTTCCCTGTGTTCCTTACTCATCTAGTTATCGTGTTCCCTGTGTTCCTTACTCTTCTAGTTATCGTGTTCCTTGCGTTCCTTACTCATCTAGTTATCGTGTTCCCTGTGTTCCTTACTCTTCTAGTTATCGTGTTCCTTGTGTTCCTTACTCTTCTGGTTATCGTGTTCCCTGTGTTCCTTACTCTTCTAGTTATCGTGTTCGTTGTGTTCCTTACTCTTCTTGTTATCGTGTTCCTTGTGTTCCTTACTCTTCTAGTTATCGTGTTCCCTGTGTTCCTTACTCTTCTAGTTATCGTGTTCCCTGTGTTCCTTACTCTTCTAGTTATCGTGTTCGTTGTGTTCCTTACTCTTCTAGTTATCGTGTTCCTTGTGTTCCTTACTCATCTAGGTATCGTGTTCCTTGTGTTCCTTACTCTTCTTGTTATCGTGTTCCTTGTGTTCCTTACCCTTCTAGTTATCGTGTTCCTTGTGTTCCTTACTCTTCTAGTTATCGTGTTCCCTGTGTTCCTTACTCATCTAGTTATCGTGCTCCCTGTGTTCCTTACTCTTCTAGTTATCGTGTTCGTTGTGTTCCTTACTCTTCTAGTTATCGTGTTCCTTGTGTTCCTTACTCATCTAGGTATCGTGTTCCTTGTGTTCCTTACTCTTCTATTATCGTTCGTTGTGTTCCTTACTCTTCTAGTTATCGTGTTCCTTGTGTTCCTTACTCATCTAGTTATCGTGTTCCCCTGTGTTCCCATTACCTTGTTATCGTGTTCCTTGTGTTCCTTTACTTCCTTCTAGTTAATGTGTTCGTTGTGTTCCTTACTCTTCTAGTTATCGTGTTCCCTGTGTTCCTTACTACTCTTGTTATCGTGTTCCCTGTGTTCCTTACTCTTCTAGTTATCGTGTTCCCTGTGTTCCTTACTCATCTAGGTATCGTGTTCCTTGTGTTCCTTACTCTTCTTGTTATCGTGTTCCTTGTGTTCCTTACTCTTCTAGTTATCGTGTTCGTTGTGTTCCTTACTCTTCTAGTTATCGTGTTCCTTGTGTTCCTTACTCTTCTAGTTATCGTGTTCCTTGTGTTCCTTACTCATCTAGTTATCGTGTTCCTTGTGTTCCTTACTCTTCTAGTTATCGTGTTCCTTGTGTTCCTTACTCATCTAGTTATCGTGTTCCTTGTGTTCCTTACTCCTCTAGTTATCGTGTTCCTTGTGTTCCTTACTCATCTAGTTATCGTGTTCCCTGTGTTCCTTACTCTTCTAGGAAACTAACTTTTTATACGCTCTACATCCTGTTTTTTTGTTATGCGTCAACAGAGAATAATTAACCGTTATTATATCACGCCAGACGGGGTAGAAATAATGACTTTTTCGGGATTAACGTCTTATATATATGAAAGTACGCCACACAAATTGGCCCTTAGCTCATTTCACCTGAAGATTAATCACCTTAACGCTAACCTAACGTAACCTAACGTAACGTAACCTAACCTAACCTAACCTAACCTAACCTAATCTAACCTAACCTAACCTAACCTAACCTAACCTAACCTAACCTAACCTAATCTAACGTAACGTAACCTAACCTGAAGATTAACCCCCAGCTTATTTCATCTGAAGATTAATTACTTTAACACTAACTTAAATTAACTCCAGGTATCTTTAGGATGTTTCAACTTAACCTGGGTTATCTAGTCTACAGGTGATACAACTATTACGCTTTTAACTTGGACAAAAATCCAATTCACTTCTTGTTTAGCAACGCAGAATTTAGTTACTGGTCAGGGAAACCACAAGATACTGCTGCCTCGATTAGTTCTCTTAAGTTTTAATCATTGTTCTGTACTGTAAGTCTCTCAGCTGTTAAAACACATAAGTACATAATACCAATCACTGCTTCAGTATAGAGGGTTGGAACATCTTTGCCAGCTGAGTTGTACCCAAAAGCATTCGAAACTCTTCACGATCCATAGGACAAGTGTTAACTAAGGTGCAGCTCCAAGACACAACCAAACGCTCAAGAGACTCCCAGATCTTACTCTTGGGTCTTAGCATTGTAATCCTGTGAGTAGGTGTAGGACTTAACCAATCAGTTCTCGTCTTCCACCCCCAAGGACCTGAGAGGGGAGACCCACAGATGTAGTTCTTAGTCAGATAGCCAGATAGAGACTTTAAAATGTCCCTGTCTCTTCTGTAAGGTAGATGGTAGCGACTACACGTAAAAAAAAAAAAAAAAAAAAACACTGAGGTCTGTAGATTACTGAGGAACTTAAAATTATTTCCACAATGATTTTAAAGGGATAAAAAACGTGTGTATATCTTTATATGGATTTTTTTTTAAAGAATAATTGGATGGGTTTAAACATAATATACTTAAATGATGTTGATGATGATATAATTCTGATGTAACATTATTGGCATCGGGAAGCTGAAAGGAACTCCATTTAGTTTAAGAGAGTTACATTGTGGGGAGAATTTTATTGTGTGATCTTTTTTAGTAGTGAGGAAGGAATAAAAGTTAAAGGCAAAGTTATATTTAATATTGAGTATATAGATGATTCAAGCTACTTTTAATACAGGTAGTGAAGAGGCAGTACAAAAGTTAGTCGACGAGTTAGTGGAAATTGATGAAGAATTCATCGTAGAGGTTAATGGTGTAAAGACCGATATAATGGTTGATTCTAAACTAAAATTTATTCCCACAATAACAATAATGTTTGGCCACAGGAATCAATACAGGTTAGGTTAGGTTAGGTTAGGTTAGGTTAGGTTAGGTTAGGTTGAATGCAAAATAAATAAAAGAATGCGAATTGTGACGAGAGAAACGATAGAAATAAAGGAAATTTGTATAATAAGATAAAAAAGATACGGGACTGATAGAAATACTAATAGGTAAAAGGCAGGTGAGTAAAGCCTTGAGAGAGAGAGAGAGAGAGAGAGAGAGAGAGAGAGAGAGAGAGAGAGAGAGAAACCCTTATAATCATCAATTGTGCCAATAACTGCCTTAAGTCCATTTACACCCACTAATTGCGATGCTCCTAACCTATCACCAACGCTAATTAATATCCATAGCTTAAGTGGCTGGAACAAGTCCGCACACACACACACACACACACACACACACACACACACACACACACACACACACACACACACACACACACACACACACACACACACACACACACACACACACTGAAGTGCTACTCGTCCCAAAGTTACAAGCTCATAACGTTGGTAACAGCAGGTGACACCAGGCAGGCGGGCGGTGTTCCATTCATCTGTGTGTGGAGAGGTAATTAAATTTGTCCTCTAGTTCGCTATAGTTGTGTGTGGTAAAGGCAATTGCGTTAAAGAAAGTCACAGCTGGGGGTTAACAAGACAAAGAATGGGTAGGTAAGGGATGTTAGGTCTTTGATTTCAGGAAATTGAAGAATAAAAGAAAAATATATGACTAGAATATTAGTAAAACTGAGGACAATACAAGTGACTTCCCACCATTTTACTGAACTTTAACAACCGCGTTTTTTTTTTTTTTTTTTTTTTTTTTTTTTTTTCAATTCTCGTTTATGGTAAAAATTTAATCTCTTGTTATGCCATGTCTGTTACCTAATACTTCTCTTTCTGTATATCTTGACCTTTGACCCTCATTCTTTTTATCTTCCGCACCTTACACCTCCCTCCCACCCTCCCGCCCACACCTCCCGCCCAGCCCACACCCTTTCCCTGCGCTCAGCTAAGGACCTCTAAAACACCAGCGAGATATATCCTGCCCATTTGACATATCCTTCATAATTATTCATAGAATCATAGGATCTCTCGTCATCCTTCCTTCTCATTGCGGTAATTTAATAGGATGCTAAATAAACACTTAAGAGTTGTTCCCATCATCAATAACTATCATAGTGTTGATGTAATGTATCTCGGTGAATAAATAAGTGCATTAGAATATTTTATATTTAATTAATAATGTCGGCTCAACGATTCTCCTGTGCAGATTTATCATCTCTCTCTCTCTCTCTCCTAACCCAATCCAACATAATCTAGTGGTAAGGTGTTTAATCATTCAGGTGAAATAAACTGCAGCATAATCTCCAATACACCCTACTGCAAGTGGACACCCACCCACTCACCCACTGTACCACCTCCTCCCCAGAAGCCCCCAACCCCCCTCCCCCAGAAGGCCCCCACCCCAAGCCCCTCGAGAGAACCACTCCCCACTGAGGAGGAACCAGCCACTGCCCCCCTCCCCTGTCGGCCAACTCGGGTACTACACGTTTTCGCCGTACCGTTGCCCTTAAGGTACTACATAAGGCACTTCCCATAATCCCCTATAGTTCCTCCATAGAAAACACCCCTAACATTCCCTGCCCCATAAACACCCACACACCCTTCCCCCTCAACATTCAAACGCCTTCAAACTCTCCAACTGCCTTCAAGTTACACTCAAAACAGGCGATCTGAACTGAAATTAATCTGCAATAAAATAAAAAATAATGTAAATATTGAAAGTTGAGCTGTTTGGAGGGGGGGGGGGGAGTGGGGAGGATTCCGGTTAATCGAATTCAAACTATACTCATTTTCCGGTTAATCGAATACCGCATTAATCAGTTTCTGGACAATCAAACTCCCACTGATATATTTTCGGTTAATCAAATTCCAGTTAATAAATATCCGGTTAATCCAATTTCCCTTTAATAGAATTCCGGTTGATGGAATATTATATATAGTTATATACATGAATTATCCCCGTATGATACAAGTTATGATACAGCCTCACTACACAATGGAATCCTAAGACCTTCAATAATAGGTGTCATCACAGGTTAGACACACCAATACCCGCGACCATATCTTCACCTGCCTTCATAACTCATCCTGATCCTATAAGTAGATGTATTAGTACCAACACAGTACCCCTGATACCCACTACTGGTATTAGAGCACTTCAACACCACCTCACAATACCAATACCCCTGATACCACACCAACATCTCATAATTCCAACCTCATGTAATACCACCTCCTTGGTATGGGTTCAACCTTAACGCAGGCGAAAGATAGGAGGATATCGCGTCACCTGATACGACTTATGACCAGCGGGGAAACCGAAGGTGTACCACAATTTCGTTAAGACGTGACGGGAACTCTGGGTGAGAGTTGTATTAGAGGGATTTATTGTGTTTTACAGTAGTATGTGGTTTTCTTCTTTTGATTGGTGCTGTTTCGTCTTTATTTACTTATTTTTTTTATTTTCTTCTTTATTTTCTGGTGTTCTATATTTTTTTTGTCTTCTTTGTCTTCTTCTCTTTTTTTCTTTCTTTCTTTCTTTCTTTCTTTCTTTCTGCTTAAGAGGGTGACCTTTTGGCTTTTGGTGATAAAGATCTTGAAAATATATGGCTTGAAAACTTCTTATGGAAAAGAGAGAGAGAGAGAGAGAGAGAGATAGTCACACACACACACATAACTGCACTCGATCAAAATGCCAACTCATGCTGGGTAAAACCGTATTCACAGCTGTAGCCTTGACCTTTGACCTGACCTTTAGACTCGTAAATGCTAAGTAAACTTGGGATCTGATTATAGTGCTATGTTACAGGCAAAGTATTAACACAGTTCTGTGAATATCAGTGAACATCTTTTGCATCAGGTTAGGTTAGGTTAGGTGTACCGCAGGCTTAGTGAACAGTGTGCTTTATCTACAGGTTTATGTGACTCACTCTAACTGCCTCGTATGTAGTCTGTCTCATTCTAATTTGCTTGTTTTTTGCATTGTTCTATCTCTCTCTATCTCTTCTTTCTTCCCTTCCCTTCCTTCCATCCTTCCTTCCTTCCTCCCTCTCTCCCCTACCACCACCATCTCCTTCTTCTCATATAATGTTTATTTTTTATTTTTTTTACCATTCTTTTTTCTCCTTGTTCTTGCCAGTGGTGACAGCTGTCGTGTTGTGGACGCTTCCTGCTGTTGTCATAACCAGGCGCATCTGGCACGCTTTACCCCTTCTGTATTACGGTGTTTGTAAATGTCTTTTTTTAGGCTAGACTACCAGAGTATCAGGAGCGTTATTCACTTCAGTATTACAGTATCAGGAGCGTTATTCACTTCATTATTACAGTATTAGGAGCGTTATTCACTTCAGTATTACAGTATTAGGAGCGTTATTCACTTCATTATTACAGTATTAGGTGCGTTATTCACTTCATTATTACAGTATTAGGAGCGTTATTCACTTCAGTATTACAGTATTAGGAGCGTTATTCACTTCATTATT